AGTTCAGCTGAGACCGTGTCATTTCGGGCTCCGGCGGCATTCGTGATACATGCCATTATAGTGCGCCATACTCATAATTAGCTTAATTTATTGACTTATTGTATTGTGTTTGACTCTGCAGTGACCGTTGCGTACGAGCTGCCGTTCTGTTATTTATCGTTGTTTCGTCGTCTGCAGTCACCATTATAATATATTGCCAAAATCTGCAACCACGTGTCTGTCGTATATAACACTAGCTCCATCTAGTCTGGACATCTTAAGATGTATTATTAAAACATCTTATATATTATATTAGATATAGGTATATAGCTAGGTACCAGCTATAGTTATATACGAGGTTGTATACTTGTATATATTGCTGCAGTGAATAAAGGTGCGTTCGTGATTTGGACTGCGGTGACAGCTAGTACCAATATTATAAAAGGGTAATTACACCTTTAATTATAACTATTATTTCTATTATTATTATGTGATCTAGTATTCATATATATATATATATATATATGTATACATATTCACATTATTATAATGGTTTGACCTATCGCGACGATATGCGACGTGCCTCCGCTGCTTTCGGTATATAATTTTTAAATAATAAATATTCATCCGCATTGTATAATATGTATATATATAAAGCTACTGTAAATATATTTATCATATATCATCACCTTATTAGGTTTAGGTAAGTATAATAAATATACTATATAATATAATATATAATATATGGTATATATAGGCACAAATATAAGTACTAAAAAGCTATCAAATAAAAATATAAAAATATCTTGTCTTTTATACATGTCATACCTATTATATTATAATATAAAACCTCGTGTAAAACCTAACGCATATTTTATTACAAAAATTATTCTTTTTATAACTATACAATAATATTGGATTTAAACGTTCAATATATTAAATTATACCTAGGTAGTAATAAGTCGTGTAAAATTAACAATATTGAAACCAAAATTATAGCAGCTATGAATTATATATATATATATATATATATATATAGGTACCAAAAATATAAAACATATTTATCAAAAATAACAGAATAATATTAGATTAAAATTAATTATTAACTTTTATTATGATAACAATTTGGAGAAAACACCTATACCTATATAGGTACATGTTTTTTTTTTACTTTTTTTATAGGTATTTCATCCCTATTATATAGCCTCGCATATAACTTGTATAAGCACCTTTCAACTATGATTAAGAGCTATAGAAGTAAACGTAGAAGAATACAAGAAGAATTAAATCTGTATGATACGTCCTGCAGCTCACCAGAATTCCATGATAATGAACATGAAAACTCAAATTCGAGTAAGATTATTTCATTAACAGAAAAGTTACCACCAGATTACAGTAATTATGATAAAAATAATACAATGAATTTAAGTTCTATTATTTAACATCAACAACTCAGCAACAGAGCATTACTAATGTTATTAATAATGTTATTGAGCAAGAAGAAATAAATATGCAAGAATGTTTTGATAACGATTTGACTAATTGGGCAACTCATTCTAATATAACACATAATAGCTTTAATGCATTTTTAAATGTGCTACGTAAACACCCTTGTTTTAAAAAATTACCTAAAGATTGTCGAACATTATAAAAGGTTAAATCAAATGAAGCTATAAATGTCCGTGATATTGAACCATCAGGGATTTATTATCATTTTGGTTTAGAAAATGGAATAAAACAATATACAAATATTTTGAATTCATGTGAAGATATTAAAATCGTTGTCGGAATTGACGGTCTTCCAATAGCGAAAAGTAGAGCCACACACATTTTGCCCATTTTGGGATATGTTCGTCCTTTTAATAACAATGTATTTATTATTGGCATATACCTACCATGGTTATGAAAAACCTAAAGATTCTAATAACTTTTTGAATGATTTTTGTTGAAATATACAATTAATAATTAATATTAGTATTCAAACCATGTAAACACACGTGCGTCTACAATGTCTTTTTCTAATAGATACTTATGCAGTTACGATATAGCTGTGTAACACCTTTACTATCGCTTTCTATATTATATACGGATACGGGATGGCCTCGATTGTTCATATAAATAGGGCCTTTGATGTATGTAATAATCACTTGCACAGACGCTGTCATACCGAGTGTAGCGGTGTGTGTATAGTCACAGTTTAATTGTCCAGTTGTAAGTTGTTATATAATTATACTTATACATAATCATATTGTCGTGTTATTACTTATTATATTAATACTAATATCATTAGTCCATCGAGCTTCACTTTCAACAATTTTGTTATTGAAGCTAAAACAATAGTTAATCAAGATGTTGTGATGAATGGTAAATTCAAAAATGTTTCAATAGATGCCATCTGCTGTGATGCCCCAGCAAAATCATTTGTATTAAAGATTAAAGGCCACTCTGGGTTTTTTTCATGTACCAGATGTAAACAAGAAGGCGAATATTTACAAAATAGAATAAGTTTTCCTTTTCAGGAAATTTGTGGCAAAAGAGATCATAATGATTATATAAATATGTCTCATGAAGAATATCATATTTCTGATACTATATCTCAATTGGTTGAAATAAAAGGAATAGATACAGTTTATTCGCTTCCTTTGGATTATTTCCATCTTACATGCTTAGGTATTATGAAGAAATTAATTAATATGTGGATTTCAAATGGTCCATTAAGTGTACGTCTTCTAAGTAAAAAATTTAATGAAATTTCATCTTATTTGCTAGATTTAAAAAAATTTGTACCCTGTGATTTTCCGAGAAAACCTAGAACCCTTTCTGAAGTTCCTCTTTGGAAAGGAACAGAATTTAGATTTTTTTACTCTATGTTGGACCTATAGTACTTAAAAATGTTTTAAATGATGATTGTTTCAAACATTTCATGTCACTGAATATAGCATTCATAATATAACTAAGCCCTAATCTTGGAAAATATATTGACTTCGCAAGTCAACTATTAATATATTTTGTACAAAGTTAGAGTAAAATATATGGTATACACTTATTATCACATAACGTGCATGGATTACTTCACGTGTGTGATGATTATGATAGATATGGCCCTTTGGATAACTGCAGTACATTTCCCTTTGAGAATTTTATGAGTAAACTAAAAAAAATGTTAAGGATAAATGAGAAACCACTTCAGCAAATTGTCAATAGATATGAAGAAAAGATTAAAAATAAAAAAGTTGAAGACATAAACCCTAGTAAAAGTGATCAAAATAAGTTGAAAGTATTACATAATAATGGTCCTATTTTAAATGGTATAAACAATCAACATCAATATAAAAACTTGCAAATCGGAAGTTCTGCTGCTATAAATATTTAAAATAAAGCCGACTGCTTTGCCATGACAAAATGTTCTGAAATCATTAAAGTTGTCAATATTATACATTCATCGTTCACAAATAAAACTCAAATACTTGGACATATATTTAATGATAAGCAACCATTATACTTGAAACCGTTGAAATCGTCAATCTTGGACATCTACTCAGTTGGTAATCTGTCATCATTAAAATGTTGGGATGTGTCAGATATACAAAAAAAAATGAAAGTATTTTCATTTAAAAATAAACAAATAGCTATGCCAATAATTCATTCAAGTTGTATTTAAAGTTTATTTAACAATTAAAATTGTGATAATCATGATACTTACTGTAAATAATGTATAATATATAATAATTTCTGTTTTGATGTTTTAGTTATGTTAAGTTAATTTTTTAAATATAGTTCCATTACAATAATGTGGGCAGTGGTAGTATTTGAAAAAGACAATTCTGTTGAGGCAGTTCCATCATGTTGGTACATAAAATAATTAAATGGTATATGCTTTTGGCCAAAAAATTCAAAAAATTGTAAAAAATTATTGGAGAGAAGATTCATACCAAACTCCATCGAATATGACCTATATTTACTGCTCACCCATTATCTCTTTACATGACCATTACTTCTTCACCCTTGAATTTAGTTTTAGCTCATAAAAATAGAATATTATTTAGTTTTTCAAAAGTTACTATTGGTTACAGATTTTATAGTACTTAATTATAGTCTATATAAATTCATTCTAAAACTTAAAGTAGGTAATTGCTCAAGTAATTTTATTGTTTAATATATTCGCTTATATAATAATAAAATAACATATTTTATTTACTTCTATCATGTTTTAGATAGTTTATTATAATAGTATAACATTAGATACTATATAAAAAGTATATTATATAATAATACAGTATACTATAATAGCAGTAGATACAAACTAATTCATTGTTTTTTTTTTGTATTCATTATATTGTGTTATAGTATTATAATTACTTAGATAACATATTATACAGTGTACTATTATTGGTGGAAATATTAACTTATCGGTATCAATAAATATATTTTTATTTATTATTGTTAGATAGTTTAACTACTGCAAGACAAAAAGCTTCTAAAGGTCAAATATACTCAGATCTTTCGTCAGCTGATGATGACATTCTAATTAGAAAAGAACGTATAAAAGAAAACTGTCACCAAGTTTGTCACCTGGACTGCAAAAGAAGAAACCATCACATACCATCACAAGTCTATCACAACAGGACTTATCTGGTAAATTAATAAATCTTTATATATTCAGCAGAAATCATTTATAATGATACCAGTTGTATTGAAATTTCGGGTTTTATAACCTAAAAAAGTAATGGTCTTGGAAAACCCCCTATATTATATTATGTGTGTTGTATTATAATATGCTAAATATTATTGGTTGTTATGACTATCATTTATTATGATGTCCTTTAAAGATAGGTAATTATAAATAATTTCTGCTGTATTATTTTATATAAGTATATATTATTATACAGTTTGATAATTAATACTATTATTCTTAATTTTTAGATTATAATGGTGAAATAGTAAATAGTCAGCTTATAAATGAAAACAAAGGTCAAACACAAAATAATTTTAATATTACTACACCAATAACTAAAAAACCAATGCTAAATCGATATTTGTTTGATTGCTTTTCTGAACAAAACACAAAAAAAAATATTGCACTAAGTAAATATATTTACCTGTTATATAATATTAATTTATAAGTATTATCTTAAATTGCAACTAAATAAATTTTCAATAATCAATGCCATTGTGTAGTTTTAAATTTTATTTTTTTATGTAATCTTGCTGTGTATTATTACTTATTAAAAGTTAAATAAATATAGATGCATATATAATAATAATAACTATGAGGTATCAAATACCTATATAGTAACCTTATTTCAATATAACTTATATAGATAGTGATGATGACTCTGCAGGTATTCCATCAATATTAAACGTAAATAAGATTAAACATGATGATCCTAACAACTACAGTGAGTATTTCAAAATATAAAAAATGGCTATGTTTAATTATTTAAATTTGATTTAAGATTATGCCAAACAATCACTAAGGATTTGTACAAACCTGAAATATGACATTAAACGTCTTCATGATGGGCAAGACTATCTAAAAATGATGCTCGAAAAAATATTTAATCAACTAAATAATCAAACAAATTCAAATAGTGACAGTTGTTCCTTAAATTATTATGATATACCACATATAACAAATGAGAATGATTTAAATGAATGGGAAGATACTATAAAAGACTCATCATATTTGTCAAAAATTCTAAGAAATAAAATTAGTTGAAACATTGTGTAATTACAATTAATGTATTTTATATGGTTTAAATATTTATTTTGTATATAATATATAAGAAAATTGATCTTTTTGTTTTTTTAGGCTCAACAACTTTCACTTATGGGTAGCCATAGTATTTCAGAAACAGTAAGAAAGTTAATGCAAAGATTGTTTTCTGATAAATTTTTAGTTGACTACTCCTTCATTGGTTTTAAAGGAAAAAAAACATTTTATAATTTAAGGACCTGTGATCTTATTAAGCGTAAGCTATAAAGAATTTGATGATATTATTTATAGACGTATTAATAGGTTATAACTATATATAGTTTGATATTTATATGATGTCACCTATCAACATAATTTAAATTAATAATATTAAGATAGGATTTATCTGGAGAAATAAGTTAACAATTATATACTTAACATGTTGAACGCCGATGTCGATTTAGTTGTGTCTATACTACGGGTTGACGTTGGCGTTTAATGTGTTAAATTAGATTCAAATAGTATAATATTTGTGTACAACCACACCAGTTATATAATGTCATGTTTTTTTTTTTTAATCATCATTTTTGCATTTCCTACAAAAACCAATTGATCAGAGAAGTAAATGTGTTAAAATTAGTAAAATCAAGTTAAAAATTGAGTTAAAAATGTTATTATTTCATTTCTTTGATTTATAAATATTTTTTGTATATTATATATGTAGTACAACAGTAGCGTGGCGAAGTGAAATTTTTTATCGGGCAATTTTTTTATGAATGACCTACCTGGTGTGCTACCGCCCCTTGACTACTTAATATAATACTATTGTTATTTAAGTTATTTTTCTTATTAAATATCATATTTAGATGAAGTTAGTCTTGCACTACAATTTCTCACTAAATCCAGTATACTCACCCACCCACCCACCATTTTAAAACTATCGGACAACTGCCCTTAAAAATCACGGTCAACACTAAACTATACCTTATTAAAATTTTATTCCTTTACTTTTTTATTTTTAATATATTCTGATCAATAATATACTTATTTAATTTTTAGTGACACTAACTATAATAGAAGTATAATAATATATCATATTATAATATATAATATACTGTTATATACTTATATATAAATATTAGGACTTATAAATTCAAATGTACAACTTTCGAAATTAGATATGTAGAAATAACAACTAACCAGTGTAAATATAATAGATTTGCAAAAGAATGGTTTTAAAGAATTAAATATAATATATTATTTCTTATTAATAAAGTTTTTATTATAATTATTACTATCTATAAGTCAATATTATGCATTGTAATGTTAGTCTAGGGTATTATATAATTATATTTTATATATATATTTCAGTGGCAGTGAGAAAAGTTCCTTTATTTCAAAATGCTTCCGACAATGAGATTGAAAAGCCTTTAAAATCATTTATGGCACAAACCTCAGCTAGATTGAAATTAAAAGCAATAAAAACAAAAGTAATTCCAATAACTACCTACTCTCAAAATACAGACGCACCTGAAAAAGATCTATAACTTAAAATATTTATATATTGATATAATTTTTATTATTTTGTCATCATTATTACATCATTATACATTTCATTATTCATGTAATTTATAAAATATTATATAATTTAACTCCTCCACAGATAATAAAATAGCTTGTATTACTTTTGATTTGTTTTTATGAATACAAAATTTACCCATACTATTTATAATTTTAATTGAGATTATAATATTTTATCGAATTACTATTACATTCTTATAAAACTGATATCAGAAATAATTTGTATTTATGCTTCAATGTTATTATCTTTTCAAATATTGTCTAAATATACATGAAAATATTTTTAAATTATCTTGAGTTAAACATTTTGAAAATATATAACTCCAATGGTTTTAAGATTTATTACATTGAATGTTTCAAAAATATTTACTACAATATTTTGGAAATAAATGGGTCAAACGTTTTGAAAACATTGGTACTTCTGCCAAAATATATTTTGAAAATATTTTTGTAATATCTTAATATTGTCCTCAAATGTTCTAAACATATTTTGAGCATATAAATATTCTGTTACATATATGCAGTGATGTAGTCCTAAAAAAATTCATGGGTACACGCCTTAATCATTGTAAAAATTAACTTGGGGGGATATGCCCCCCAAACCCCCCCAGTCCTCCACCATTATTTGAAACTCGTTCAATACTTCATCTATTTGTCTATATAATATACAATAGAACCTCATAAATTTTGATTGATATATTTTAAACACATAATAATCCATTAAAAAAAATGCATAACCATACATTTTCTTAAAATATAATTAACAAATTAATGAAACATACCTATTATTATTATTTTTTATTATTATAAAATATTTTTATATTATTCAAGACGTAATTCCCATAGTTTGTAATTTAGGTCTTGGTTTGGGTCTGTAGTGGTATAATATTAACTTTTCTTGACTTGTTGTCATCAGCATCTCTATGTGAGGTTAACCAACTTTCGATAGTCTTTTTTGAATACGGGTAATCAAGGATCTAACATAGTAACATCATGTTGGTTAACGGGCTCGTTTCCTAGGTTTAGACTTCAGATCATAGGTAGGTAAACTTAAACCCAATCAGCTGATCGAGTTTCACTTCTATATTTTTCTATGAACATTTTATTACTATTATCTACTATTTATAATAAACAAATTACGCTTATCTTTTTTTTTATTATTGAATTATTGTTTGTAATTTATTATATTATATTACCCAATAATATTTCCTAAATACATTTTATTGACTAAGTATAATTGGATAACGTTAATACGTATTTTTCATGGCCCGTGTACCCTCGAACCACGATTTTCGTTAAGGGTACACTCATTAATCTAAAATTGGGAGGTGAGTACACGCCGTGTACCCGCGTGTACCCTCCACTACATCACTGCATATATGTATATATATATATATTTTTAAAATGTCTTGAAAATGTTAATTTGCTGTGTGGGCAGTTCTGCTTGATTCTTGCCGGAGATAAGCAGCTCCAGATCATCTGCGTACGTGATCACTTCAGTACCTATATTCAGCTCCTCTGAAAGAAGTGGATTTACAGCGTATTTGCACTGGTCAGGGCCATATTGCGGACAACCCGCAGGTGTCGAGCGTGGGCACCATTCGGCGTTAGCAATGTCAGATTTCCAGTGCGGCTCCTTCCTACTCCCGCGGAATGATATTTCGGTATCCAAGTATTCCCAGTACTCACAACGACTGGTCTCCCTCTAGCATTGATGCAGGGTTACTGCTGACCTTTGTTGAGCGGTATGGTTTTCAAGATGGATGGCCGTGTCCTAACCGATAAGATTGGGTATGAGCGACTATCTGGTTGGTGACTCCTAGTACAAATGTTCTAATATAAAAAAAAAAAAACCTAACCAGTCGGGGGACTGCCGGTAGAAGTGAAACCTTCTTAAGCACGTTGGGCACCCCGTAAGAAAGCATTTGCGGGTGAGGAAAAAAGTATGAAATCGCGACACCGCCACCGCCACCGAGAGTACATGTATATATATACTGTATTACTGTGGTATATATTGTTATACTTAAGTGTGAGCGTGTATGTGTATATATAGTAGAACAATTTCACTTCGTTTTTAAAAATTTTGTAATGCTTCGGAAATAATGTACCACGAATTGTTTTATTTATCAATATAAAATACTATACATAATTATTTCAGTTATTTTACATAAAGCAGGCGGGCGTTGTTGTTTTCCCGTAACTGCCGTCTGCTGCGCGCGCAGCTTTGATACACTAATGTGTATACCACAGTACATTATATAATATACTCGCGGTGGCGGTGGCGCGAGATCATACTTTTTTCCTCGCTCGCAAATATAATATATACCACTGTATATATATCTACTCGCGGTGGCGGTGTCGCGAGATCATACTTTTTTCCTCACTCGCAAATGCTTTCTTATACGGGGTGCCCAACGTGCCTAAAGAAGTTTTCACTTCAAAAAAATTAATGGTACCTATTATAGATATAGGTTAAATACGTTATAAACTAAATGCTTTAGTTTTATGTAGTAATAGATACATTAAGTGAAAATATACACCTTGGAAATACTCGTCGAACAAGTATTCCGAAACAAAATCCATCAAATAATTATTTTAAAATAGATAACAAAAAGTGGGTAAGTGGATGTCACTCTGCTGTACAGTAGGCTACAAGTGAGTCACTGTAATGCAGCGTTTTCCAAACCATGGGTCGCGAAATGTTATTGATGGGCCGTGACTTGAGGTTATGATTACGGTTATTTCAGCCGTAAATTGATACCTTTATATTGTATAATAATAATGTGAAGTCCAACTAGTATTGTAGAATGTATAATATCAATTTTACATTGGATATCAATATATTTTTAGTAATCTTTCTATTATTTTATTAAGATTATGGAATATTTCTTATCTTCTCGGTAATGTGCTAATAACTATAGTTATTATATATTATATTATATTATAAAACAATTTAAATTAATCAAATTGTATACAAGTTTTAATTTTTTGATGGATAAATGGTATTGTTCGTAAAACTACAGCCGGTGGTATCAGCTAACCAGTTCCGTTTAGTTTAGGACAAAACTTACTAGGGAAAAAAATTAAATTAAAACATCAGATAATCGTAGTTACAGTACAGATTACGTTAAATTTGGATTTGTATTTTATGTAATTAATAAAATGGTTCTACCACAATGCGTTGTATGTGGAGACATTTTAGCTAATGGAAATTTAAAACCCTCCAAATTAAAAATACATCTCGTGGCTAAACACCCGAATCTAAAAAACAAACCTACAGAATATTTTGAACGTTTAAATGACCAGTTTAAAAGAAATACAAATGCAATGAAAACTTATTGTCATTTGTATTTATTAATCAGTACCTATTGTATCTTATAAAAATTTAATGATAATATTAATGATAATGAAAATATTATTTATTTATGGCATAATTGATTTTTTTTTTTTTTGAGTAGTGGTCGGGTACCAGTAAAGATTAAATGTATGGGCCGACATTGCAAAAAGTTTGGGAAACACTACTGTAATAGATATTATTAAATTTGAATTTAATGATCAGTCTTGTAAAGTATTCGTAATACTTTTTGAAGTATTTAAATGGTATTCTAAATACAATTTTTTTAATATATATTTTAAGTATTTTGAATACTTTTAAAAGTATTTTTAATAAAATTTAAATAATTGTATTAAAATACCATAAAGTCAATTTTATTAATTTTAATTTATAGTTTTTCACAAAAAATTGACATCAATAAAAATAATATTGTTTTCGTTGAAAACTAATATTATGTTTTTGTATAGTAAAAGTAGGTAATAACAATGTTTAAAATTAAAGAAATACCACATCCAATTTTATATTATGGTTTCTGTATTGGAATTTTTTAAGAAAACTGAATGTCTAATAATTTTAAAATAGTTCCATATTAATAGTTATGATACCACTTTTTATTTTATTTTTTTCGTTAAATGTAATCAATATTAGTTGAAATATATCTGAATGCAGTATGAAATATGTGAACATAATTATGTTTGGACCAAATTGGCTACTCATTTAGCACAACAGCTTGGGTTTTGAAATATATTGAGTTCTTAAAAAGGGTCATTAGGCATCTAACAGCAGCAGATCTCTAAAAAGCAGAACAATGGTTGGTAAGATATGCTCAAAAGGATGTATTTGTAGCTAACTATGAGTAAGGAACTGAAAAACAACAGAAAGATACGAGGACTATCCCCCTTTATCAGTACAGATAATCTAATTGTGGTCGGAGGAATACTACGTCATTCAACACTTTCGAATGAACAAAAACATCCTATAGTTTTACCGGTTGGTCATAAGGTCACGCAGCTAATTTTTATATACTTTCATGAAATACTGTTACATGGAGGGCCCCAGTTGTTGTTATCAGAAGTAAGACTTCGGTTTTGGCCTCTAAAGGTAGTCTATCACACGTTGTGTTACATGTGTTCGAGCAAAGTCTAAATTTGAAAACCCGATCATGGCTACCTTGCCAAGTACCAGAGTACGGCCTGCAAGACCATTTGTGTCAACAGGGGTTGATTTTGTGGGACCCGGGACCCTTGATGTTCGAAGTGTCACAAGCATAAAAACATGGATTGCAGTTTTTGTGTGTCTGGAAACTAGAGCAATACATTTGGAGTAAGTGGTTGGTCTGAAGAGCAATGCCTTTTTTGCCACGCTGCGACGGTTTATGGCATGAAGAGGTAAATGTTCAAAAATATATAGTGACAATGCAACTCATTTTGTGGATGTTCAACGAGAATTAGCAATCTATCTGCGAGGTGTCGATGCAAATGGAGCCAATTAATGAATAGATTGGCACTTTAGCCCTCCAGCAGCACCCATTTTGGCGGAATTTGGGAATGTGCCGTGAAAAGCACCATCTGACTAGAGTAGTTAAAGATGCTAGGCTCAAGTTAGAAGAGCTAGGGACTTTACTTTGTCAAATTGAGGCATGTTTGAACTCTCGTCCATGGACACCGTTTAGTTCTCATCCACTAGACTTAGAGCCTATAATACTAGAGCATTTTTTAATTGGTGGACCATTGCTCCTAGTTTCAGAAGCTGACATATCAAATGAAAATATGAGCACATTACGGAAATGGAGATATGTACAGGCCTTGATACAGACGTTCTGGAAACGCTGGTCAAGGGAATATTTACCACAACTTCAAGTTCAAGGCCGTTGGTTAGATCAAACCGAACAAATGGAAATTGGAGGTATTGTTATCAACAAAGAAAAATGTGCACCACCAGGAAAATGGAAAATATTAAAAATACTGAAAACTCATCCGGGATGTGATGTAGTTACATTGAAGACATCAAATGGCAATGAACTGAAACGACCAGTTGTCAAATTATGTAGCTTGTCTAGGTGTTACTGTTTACCACTAGAGGATAAAGTCCCGAATTTTTAAAATCATAAGTTTCAAAGGGGGGAGACGACACACACACACACACACACTTACAAGCACGCACATTTTACCATAGGTAATTATTATTGTTGAAATTGTGAATTATATTATATAATATGTTAATTTTATGCTCATGTTACGGGTTTAGTCTACATGTATTGAGTTATTTTTCGTCAGTACAGTATTGTATCTTTTTCTCGCAGCTCTGCAAATTTGTATTTTTATTAAATGTGTCCGCAATAAATTCGTAGCATTGTTATTATTATTATTGTAAACGCAAACATCAATTTTTAGTGTTAATTTCACACCCACAAATTATATATAATTACATTATTATATTTATTTTATATTTCGCAGGCACGAATTGCCGTTTTTATTACTATTATATTTATTAATTATTGTTTATTTTGCAGGCAAGAATTGCCGTTTTATTATAATTGTAGACCTTATGGTATTTGCGTGTGTGTGTGTGTGTGTGTGTGTGTGTGTGTGTGTGTGTGTGTTTGTGTGTGAGAAACACATTATTGAATATTATTATTTAGACGCAGGTACAAGCTGGCCAGTGCACCGTCGGACTGTGAGTCTTTAAATTATTATTTTGTATTGGTTATTATTATGAATATTATTTATATAAATATGTAATGTATTGGTTATCCACATAACACTATATATTTTGAATAATCCATTACTTTTACTTGTAAGGCCTGAAAGACCGGATATAATAAATGTGCATTATTTAAATTATAGACCAATACCTTATCATAAAAAATCCGTGTTACTATTACTTTATTTAATATATTTAAGTATCCACCGTACACACTTATAACACACGTAGTTCATCAGTATTTCCTCGGCAATCCCTCCACTACTGATCGAGCCATTTACACCACATTCACACGCACACGCACACACACACACACACACACACACACACACACAAATTTCGGTCATAGGTATACTGTAGAAACTATAAGCGCACTAGTATTAGATAACCTGATAACCGGGCCCGCGTTCTATATTCTTATTCGCTCCCAGCTCCTACAACACATATTAATCTGTTTTATAAACTACAATAATTTTGACATTATTTTATTTGATATAGGTATTTAGTATAATATACCTACCATATTATATAGGTATATAAATTATATAAATATTATAGTGATGAGAACAACAGCATATATGTAGCTATATCTTAGTTTAATGATTTTCGTAGAAGAGAAACGTGTAAGTACCTATTTATTATAATATTTTATTGCATACTATTCGTCCAAATATTCAAGACGATTTTGTAATTTTACACGTGAGTAAGTGACAGCAACAGTATTCTGCTAACATCGATGGGAAGAAGACTTGGTAACATTTATTATTATTAGAAAAGGGATAAAAACTAGTCTCTCCTCTCGCCTCCGTCACTCCTTCCGGATTCTGCTTTCTTACTTTTGTGTCTCAAACGCATGACAATTTTATACAGGCGCAACCATAAATAGATTATTTTAATTTCATACTTAAAATATTTTGGATTTCACTTAGTTTAAATAATAACGTGTGAATGTCTTAAGTGTTGGGGAGAGGCCTGCCAAAAAAAGCATCAGCTGGATTATTTTGAGTGACATTGGACATATTATTTTTCTTTTTTTGAATAATTTATTTCATTAACGTGGTTGAAGCCGAATCTGGCGTTTTAATTATTGAACGTTTTTGAATCAATTTTCGAAATGGCTTAGACGACCGGGTTTGTTCAAAATTTTGCAATTGCTCACCGTCTATATCGTTGATGTTCTCGTCAATTTGAACTGCAGCGTTTTCATTTTAATTTCGTCCACGTCGTCATCGAAATTCCCAACTACAACTTCTGTTCCCCAAAGTGTCCCATTCTTGTAGTTATATATGTATATACTATATATACTGTACCTACATAATATAGGTAATATTTTAAAATTTTAATCTAGTTGTTGATAATCTAGTAAATTTAGTAGTGTAAAAAATAAATAAATGTTGTAATTTATATATTGTTATAATACCTACATTTTAAATAACCTGTAGAGGCTTTATGATTATTGGGTTTTGCATAATCTAATATTTTCAATTAGCACACAACACAAAAAAAAAGTTTTTTCAATTTGAAAGAATGTTCAATAATGGTAGGTCTATACCTACCATTTTTACATTTCTACTCACATTATTCAATAAGTTATGAGCAATTGAAGAAAGACTCATGACGTCATTGGGCGGGGGCTCATCGTAATTGCCTATCTTTTACGTGTAAAAGTTCCTCGCTCACCCAACGATTTATCAACCTATAAATTGTATTTTTGAAATTTCTTTTACATATACATGTGTGGTTTTATGTGTTTAAGACGATACAAGTATAAGAATTTTAATATAACGACCATTACGGAGAGTAAAGATTTAATGATATTCAAAAAACTAAACGTTCTATCGCATTTCTGATACTTTTATCGTCTTAAACACACAAAAACACACATTTTATACGTAGACTAAATTTCAAAAATAAAATTTTTAGATTGGTAAAAAATTGTGTGAAGCGAGGAACTTTACTTTAACGTATAAGATAGGCAATTACGATGAGCCGGGCCTAATGATGTCACGCGGCTATTCTACATTTCTTAATATCATTTTTAGATTCTGAGCGGAGCGATGAATGTATTGGTTTTACAATGATGTATGTTTTTATATTTTAGATTCTGAGCGGAGCGATGAATGTATTGGTTTTACAATGATGTATGTTTTTATATTTTAGATTCTGAGTGAAACGATGAATGTATTGATTTTACAATGATGTGTGTTTTTTTATTTTTTTTTTTATTTTTTTTTTTATTTTTTTTTTTATTTTTTTATTTTTTTTGTGTCTGTCATCACGTTTTAGGACAGTAAAAGTGCTTGGATTTTCTTCATCAGTAGCTTTTCTGATAGGAAAGTGAATCTAGTTGGTACTTTGGGGGGTCAAAAGTATAAATTTCCCAGTAGTTTTCACAAGCGCCGGGAAAAACAACATAAAAATTAAGGAAAAACGGGAATTTTTACGCAAAATTGGTTTTCCAAAAAATCGATTTTGGTTTTTGGTGTAACTCTGAAACAAATGAACGTATATACATGAAATTTTCACTGGTTGTTTATATTTGCATTTTCTATACACGATAACATTTTCAAAATATTTTGATTTATTTTGAACTGTTTAGGGACATTTTCATTTTCCATTTTTTTTAGTTTTTTTTCTAAAAATATCAATAAAATTTTATTTGTTGGTTGCGAAAGCTTGAAAATTTAATAGAAGGCTCCTAATATATTGCTTCAAAGGCAGATGAAAAATATTAAAAATCCTTAGTCACAATTTTTTTTTATAAGCATTTAAAGTTCAAAAATTGACAAAATATGGGAAAATCACGAAAATTAGCAAATTATTTTGAGTTAAGAATTCGTAAAAATTTTTCTTTTTAAATCTAAGATTTGAAAATGAAACACAAGATTCCTTATAAGATTATCTACCTTTATAAATAAAAAAATCTCTACCGGACAGTCAAATTAAATTTTTATGAGCGTTTGAAATTCAAATTTTTACAACATTGGATTTTCACTCGATTTCTCATGTAGCGATTTCCTTATTTTGTTGTAATTCAAAAACGAATAACTGTAGATACATGAAAATTTCACTGAATGTTTATATTAGCATTTCCTACACACCATACAATTTTGAAAATATTTTGACTCTTTTTGAGCTGTTTATGGACATTTACAGCTTTCAATTTTTTTTAGTTTTTTTTTCTATAAATATCAATAAAGTTTTATCTGTTGGGCCAAAAAGTATAAAAATTTAATACAAGGCTCCTGATATATTGTTACAATATCAGTTGAAAAATATTAAAAATACATAGGCACGATTTTTTTTTATAAGCATTTAAAGTTGGAATTTTGACAAAATTTATCAAAATCTCGAAAATTATCAATCGTTGGAATTAAAAAATTATAAAATGTTCAGTTTTTATAACTAATAGTTGAAAATTTAAAACAAAGATTCTCTTAAATAATTCATACTGTAACCAAATATCTAAAAAATATATAAACACACTTATTTTTTACAGACATTTTAATTTCAAATTTAGACAAAATTTCATATTTAAACCAAGAATTACGATTTTAGTTATTTTGTTGTGATTGAATAATACTATTCGTGGGTACTTGAAACTTCTAAAGTGTACTATTATATATCTATGATAGTATCACGGTTTTTGTTGATGTATAACGCGTTATAAGTATCTAATGGATATTGTGATATGATTAATTTGGAATTTATTATAGGTACCTATTATAGGTCAATTTTTTGTTTAATACCATAGATATGTATATAATATGCCTTATACATAGACTGACATACCATCACCGCTCAGAATCGTTTTTCTTATACAATGATATTATATCATTGAATTCAAATTTAATACCATCCATTATACAGTGACCCACTTGTAACCTACTGTACAGCAGAGCGACACCCACTTGCCCACCTTTTTATATTTTTATTTATATTTTAGATTCTGAGCGGAGCGATGAATGTATTGGTTTTACAATGATGTATGTTTTTATATTTTTATATTTTTATATTTTTGTGTCTGTCATCACGTTTTAGGACAGTAAAAGTGCTTGGATTTTCTTCATCAGTAGCTTTTCTGATAGGAAAGTGAATCTAGTTGGTACTTTGGGGGGTCAAAAGTATAAATTTCCCAGTAGTTTTCACAAGCGCCGGGAAAAACAACATAAAAATTAAGGAAAAAACGGGAATTTTTACGCAAAATTGGTTTTCCAAAAAATCGATTTTGGTTTTTGGTGTAACTCTGAAACAAATGAACGTATATACATGAAATTTTCACTGGTTGTTTATATTTGCATTTTCTATACACGATAACATTTTCAAAATATTTTGATTTATTTTGAACTGTTTAGGGACATTTTCATTTTCCATTTTTTTTTAGTTTTTTTTCTAAAAA